AGCTCTTTGGCTGCTTTTGTGCTTTCAGTCAGCATCTGTTGAAAAGAAGCTCACTTTATTACATTGAAATTCTGACGGGGGAAAAGAACAAAGAGAGAAGAAGCATCTTCTACATTCTGTGGTAATGACCAGTTGAGTAATCTTAGATCTACAGGGGTGGAAGGGGACCCTTCTGGATCATCCAGTCCAGCCCCTCTCAAGGAGGCACATAGTGGGGAATCGAACCCCCAACCTCTGGCTCCACAGCCACGTACCTAAACCACTGAACTAAAATGATGATGCAGAACATGAAAATGACTAGTTGCAAACTGTGAGCTATAATTAATTTCTCCCAAAAGGATGGTATAACTACATCACTGTACTATTTTAATTAAATTCATTCCTTTTGTGCATAACTATCAATTTTATAATTACTACAGTTACCAGTTTGTGTGGCCTCATTAAATAGTGTAAGATGAATAATTGCAGGGTTCAAGCAATGCCCCAACGCTCTGTGTTGAGGTGACAACAAGGAAGACAGAAAATGATTGCTTTATAGCATTCAGCTATTTAGTTGCTTTTAAGAAACAGGGAAATATACCCTGTTTCCCCAAAAATAAGAGAGGGTGTTTTCTTAATCTTTGCTCCAAAAAAATCCAATAGGGCTTATTTTCAGGGGATGTTTTATTTTATTTTCATGTACAACCATCTACATTTATTCAAATACAGTCCTGTCATCTTCTTCTGGTTGCTGCACAAGGTGGAGGACGGGGTTTCACTTTGTTGTTGTTTTGTCGTTAAGTCATGTTTGACTCTTCGTGACCCCATGGACCACAGCATGCCAGGCCCTCCTGTCTTCCACTGCCTCTCGGAGTTGGGTCAGATTCATGCTGGTCGCTTCGATGACACTGTCCAGCCATTTCGTTCTCTGTCATTCCCCTTCTCCTCTTGCCCTCTCGCCTTCACACTTTCCCAACATCAGGGTCTTTTCCAGGGAGTCTTCTCTTCTCATGGGATGGCCAAAGGATTGGAGCCTCAGCTTCAGGATCTTTCCTTCCAGTGAGCACTCAGGGTTGATTTCCTTCGGAATGGATAGTTCGTTCTCTTTGCAGTCCAGGGGACTCTCAAGAGTCTCCTCCAACACCACAATTCAAAAGCATCAATTCTTCGGCGGTCAGCCTTCTTTATGGTCCAGCTCTCACTTCCACACATCATTACTGGAAAAACTATAGCTTTCATTATGCAGACTTTTGTTGGCAAGGTGATGTCTCTGCTTTTTAAGATGCTATCTAGGTTTCTCATCTCTTTCCTCCCAAGAAGCAGGCGTCTTTTAATTTCGTGGCTGCTGTCACCATCTGCAGTGATCATGGAGCCCAAGAAAGTAAAATCTGCCACTGCCTCCATATCTTCCCCGTTCTATTTGCCATATTATGAGCATCCTGAAAAATCCTACTAGGGATTATTTTCAGGTTAGGTCTTATTTTTGGGGAAAGAAGGTGTAGTTTCTTTATTGTTTTGAAAATCAGTGTGGCATAGTGGACAAAGAGTTAGATTAAGCCTTTGAAGTTCAGTTTGGTTCTCTCTCCTCTCTGGGTTGTTTTGGCCCTGC